ATTATCAATGCCCTTATGAGTCTCTTCACCTTCTGGGATGCCTATTATCTGGATGTTTGGGCGTTTGATGGTATCTAGTATTTCTCGTATATTAGTCTCAAACTTTTGGGCCATTTTCTCAGTCTTCATGGTAGATTTTTGTAGGCTAGCAATTTTCTCTTCTATGTCTGAGATTCTATTTTTTGTACCATCTAGTCTGCTTTTAATACTTTCAAGGGAGATTTTGACTTCCTGTATTATAGCTTTCATCTCTAACAGCTGCATCTGATTCTTTAGTAAACTGTGAAATTTCTCTTTTAGATCTTGTATGAATTTTCTCACATCCTGGAACTCAACAACATCTTTCTCCTCCCTCTTCAGCAGTTCATTGTCTCTGTTCTCTTCTATCTCTATTAGTTTTGCCATTATGAATGTTCTGAATTCTTTATCAGACTCTTCCATGAATTCCCTTGAACTGTGTGTGGATGAAGATGAGTTATCCTTTTCCCTTGGAGGAGAGGTATTTTCCTGCTTTCCCATATTTCTTGTGGTCCTGGAGCGATTTCTAGTCATCTGGTTGATGGTCAGTTTCTTCCCAATCTTAGAAGTTCAATCACGCGAGTTTTGTGTGCTGGAGGCCAAATTATCAGTGGGAAGTCATGATTTCTGTTCCCCCAAAATGGTTAGTTTGCAGAATCCATGAGGCTGTGTCTTCAAGAAGCACCACTAGCTAGTTTTATTATTTATTTTTATTAACAAACTTACTAAACATTAGATAGGTCTTAAAAAAAGGGAGAGAAGATACAAATCAATAAATCAGACATGGAAATAAAGACATTATTTCTGCTTTCTAGGAGAACACAATGAATAGTAGCTAGTTAATAAAATTTCACAATTAATCAATACAGACAATGTAAAACTACCAAATAATCTAAGATATCATTCATAGTTGCAGATTTAATACCTGTTTCAAATTTATATACAAAACGACTGTTTTTAAAAATGAATTTAAGTCAGTCATTTTCAGTTATTTTATTTTCTGAGATTATAAAATCAGGGTGCATTTTTGGTTCAAAATCCTAAAATTGTGATACAGGCTTATGAGATAAAACCTTAGAATGTCTGTTTAATTTGGAACCCCTTCTGTTTTTTAAAGCTTTCCAGGAGTTCTCATTGGGTCTTATATGAATAATGTAACACTTGGGGGCAAAGATGCAGCCTAAGAGCCCTGCACTGGAGGCCAAGATGGAGAAGACTTCCACAGCCACCATGAACTTCCCCTTGGTGCTGTGGTAGACGGGGACAAATATGACCCAGACACTGCAGAATACCAGCATGCTGAATGTGAGGAACTTGGCTTCATTGAATGTATCAGGAAGTTTCCTGGCCAGAAAAGCCACAGTGAAACTCCCCACAGCCAAGAAGCCCGGGTAGCCCAGGACACAGTAGAAGGCAGTGACTGAGCCCTTGTTGCACACAATGATGAGGTTTCTGGGCTCAGAATGTGAGTCTATGTCAATGAAAGGGGGAGAGGTTCCCAGCCAGATTCCACAGATAATCATTTGGATCAGGGAGCAAATGGGAATGACAGAGTTAGAAGCCCCTGAGAGCAGCAAGCATCTCTTTGTTCTTCCAGGTTTCATGGTTTTGAATGCCAAAATCACAGTAATGGTTTTGGTCAAAACAGTGGAAACAGCCACAGTGAACACAAGGCCAAATGCAACTTGTTGGAGGACACAGGTGGCTGCATTAGGATGGCCAATGAAGAGCAAGGATCAGAGGAAGCACAGTAGGAGGGAGATGAGCAGAATGAAGCTGAGAGCCTGGTTGTTGGCCTTGACAATGGGAGTGTCTCGGTGCTTCACAAAACCTCCCAAAACTACTACTGTGAGGACAAAGAAACACAGAGCCATGCAGGCCATGGCTGTTCCCAAAGCATCCTCAAAATCTAGGAATGTCACAGACTTGAGAAGGCAGTGAGTTCTCTCACTGTTTGGATACTCTTGAGAAGGGCACTGGATACACTGCTTTGCATTTGGAGCAAAAGCAAATGTCCTGCAATTCAATGTAACAGTTTGTCATGTTGAAGCTAATGGTCACTTTTGTGTAATTTCGCACAGATTAAGCTCCTGAGGTAATACCAAGATACACCAAATTAAGAGCCCTTTTCATGAAACTGGGATAATTTTTTTCATCTTTAGATAACAACAAAGTGATTTGAAACTGGGTCTTTAGCACATGAGAATCTTGGTTGGCCCATCTTGTGGTTCTCAATGATGTTACCGAGGATGAGAATTTATTCTAGATCTCTTCTCTACTCTTTCCTGAGTTTTCCTTTTGAGAAAACTATTTCCATGGCTTATCATACTTGTTCATCACAATAGTAATGAATAGTTTTCTTATTTATATTAAGACAAAAGTCACTTAATACCTGTTACTCTAACCTAATTTCTATTGATTTTTTCTTGTATATAATATGTCACTTTGTGTAAAGACTTTTCCCATTGTACATTTTGATTTTTCTGTAAATATTATCATAAACACTCCTAGGTAAATATTGAAAGCAGTTTCAATATAAAACATTTGAATCTGGAGTGGAATTTGATTACTCCTATGTATCATTTTTTGTGAATTTTTTATTATGAGTATATGATAGAAGGATTTTTTTTATCTATTTATATACATCTGAAAGCATGGTTTGTTAATTTTTTTATGTGGCTAGTAATACTTTTGCCTTTATACATTATAAGGTCTCTGTTGCATATATTCACCTCTATTGTTATGTACTAGGAAAACCTTCACAGAGCTTACGGCTATTAATAGGCATGGCTGTGTTTCAATTATAATAATTATTATTATTTACAAAAATAGGTAGGGTTTCTCTTCATTTCTCAATTTTTTATTCATTTATTTATTTTGTAAAACTGAGACAATAGCATTGGGTTGTCATAAAAGTCATATCACATTTTTGCATAGAAATAAATGAAAAACATGTCATGACTTTTCCAGCAATCCAGTATATTCTTAATAAATTAGAGTGGAGGCCATGAGGTGGCATAATGGCGATGATGTGAAATTCTCACATGACGGACTGCATTTTGAGTCTTGAACCTGGCAACTTGCTTTCTCACTTCTCTTTCTTTGTCTTTCTCTTACTTCTCTGGTGAGTGTACATACCCTTTAGCAAATTTAAAAAATAATAATGATAAATAAAATTAAATAAATAATTCTTAAAACAATAATTAGTGATAGTCAATAACATTGTTTTCTTGCAGTACCTATTCCTAGTTTTAGAGTCTGCAGAGTATGTTTCCATTTTGATGTGGACTGATGAATACAGAAGTCTCTCTTCTGTTGTGTTTAGTAATGTGGTCCGAGGAGGAGTGTTCTATTCAGGTGACTGCAGAGCAGTATTTTCTTTTTCAAGGGTGGTTCAGTAAAAGGGAGGACCCCAGGGAGTCTTACAATACTAGGATATTTCACAATTGTGATTCTAGACCTATCTAGTCCATCCAGGAGGGTGGAGGAATACGAAGAAAGGATCAAATAAGAGGGAAGAAAGTAAGGAGAATAAAGAAAAAGTGTGCTGTATGGGCCAGCACACAATTTCGCCAGGAGTCTGGAGATGAAAGTGAGGTCTGCTATAGAGCTTGGGGCAGTCCTGTGTCATAAGCATAAATGTGAAATTAAAAAAATGAAAGAGGAAGAGAAGGAAAAAAAAGCCTACCTGCCTGACACAGATAGAGGGTCGCTGGGTTAGGGGTTGCTGGGCCTGGAACTAAGGTGGGGTGCCCTGCCTCAATGTCCCTTAGGCCAGAAGTCTGGAGACATAAATAATAAGGTCTTCTGTAGAGCTGGGAGAAGTCCTGTGTGGTAAGAAGTGTGAAATTAACAAATGAAAGAAGAAGAAAAGGAAATATTCCTACTTAGATGACAGAGACGGAGGGTCGCTGGGGTTTGGGGTGCAGAGCCTGGAGCTGGGGCCAGGGGCCCTGCCTCAGTGTCCCTTAGGTCACAGCTGTGGAGATGGAAGTGGGGTCTACTGTTGAGTTGGGGGAGGTCCTGGGTGACAGAGATAGTCACTGGGCTTGGCGTGCCGTGACTGGAGCTGGGGCGGGAGTCTGCCTCAGTGTCCCTTAGGCCAGGGGTCTGGCTATATTTACTTTTACTAGTGATGAAATTCAAGTATTTTCTACTGTTAAAATCTCTGCGATTGCATAATACTGATGGAAGAATTCAAACCATACTTATTCCTTATATATCAGAAAAATGGAAGCATGATTTCTCATAACTTTACATATTTCATATTTGATAATACATTTCCTTATAGTAATTGCTTGATTTTATATTTTATATGAGAGCATATTTTGATGTGTTCAACTGTGACATTTATTAGAATGTTGAGTACTCCATTTGTAAACTATAATTCTTTTTCTTCCTGCAATATATATCAAAGTGTGGTATTCTGATATTAGTCAATTCTTTGTACTTAATTGCACAGGTGTTTGAGTATGTTAAGAAAGTTATAAAGTATTCTTGAGACCAGCAGTTAGCATATTGGCTATGTCACTGGACTCCCATGTAGTCAACCACAGTTTGAGTCCTGGACCCAGTGGCTTAAACCTCATGGCAGACACGTCTGCATGCGTGCCCAAGATCCCAAGAGGAAAATGGAAGAGAAGAGATTGTGGCATGGCCATCTTCCCTGGGTGGTGATTTCTTGCTTTCTGTCTTCTCTGTCTCTCTCTGTCTTTCTGGTGAGCGCATATGCCCTATAGCAAAAACCTCTCCAAAAAAAAAAAAAGGAAGTTATAAAGTATTGTTATAATAGTTTATCCGAAATTCCTTTGTACTTATCATATGGGTCTCAAAGTCAGATACAAACTTTAAGGCACCCATAGGTAACCTTGGTAATTACACATTCTCCTATTCATGACTACTGTGGTCCAGTATCAGGTCCCAAATTGACACTGTCTTATCCAGCATCAAGCTGCAAGGGAAATAGTTTCACAGTTTAGCCTAATAGAATGAACATGGACAGAAAACAGCTTACATAAAATAGGGTAGGGAATTGTTTATAAAATAAGTCTGGCAAAACAATAATTATGTGATGAAAGAACTGTGGTGCTCTATGGTTCACTCACTAATTATTTTTAAAAGAGATTTTTGTTATAAAGCATGTGTGCTCACCACAGAAACAGAAAGACAGAAAGTGAGTGAGAAGTCACCCTTGAGAGGTATGGCCATGCAAGTCTCTTCTTCTTTCACGATTTTCAGCAAAAATGTCCATGCACGTGGCATGAGTTTCAAGGTTCTGGGTTGGGAATTGCTGTTGGCCACATGGGACAATGCCTTAACATCCACGCCACCTGGAGGCCCCTATGTTTTATTTTTAACAGTAACACTTTCATTTTTATTGAGCAATAGTAGGGACTGATAGTGTAGTTATGCATTTCATACTTGTTTGATTTGAAATAGCTGACTGTGGGCAAGAAGCACAAATAAAGCAGCAAACAGGTCTTCCTTCTTGGGGAATTTTCTGGAAACCAGGAACACAGCTGTGACTACACACAGATTCAGGAGTCTGAGTAGAAATGAAAATCATTAGTCATAATCATGTATGTTATGAGTTGTTTTGAATATATGTCACTATTTCCATTTTACAGAAAACTGGTATTTCATAGTTCATCACTGTTTATCCTTTAGATATTACCTAGACTTCTATTTATTTTTTCAACCAGAGATTTTGGCTACAGAGTCCATGTGCTCTCTAGAGAGAGGGAAAGACAGCTAAAGAGAAAAAATCACCCCCTGGGGGATTGCTACACTACAATATCCTCTTCATTCTCCTCTCAGAATGAAATAAAGTAAAAGTGAGAAAACAAGCCATCTTTTCTGGGACTTGAACTGCAATCAACCATGTGGGAGTCCTGTGCTTTAACCACCTCACCACCTGCAGGTCCTGTTTATATATTATTTATCAAACATTTCCAAGGTTCACTATTACTTTATTTCACGTATTACTAAAAATATCCCTGGTGTCATTTTCTTTACATGTAATTACTTCATCTAACACAATTTCAATGCAAGTTTTTACATGGTAAAGACTCTGAAAAGTTGTGTTCCCCCAAGAATATTTATACTATATTCTCATATCTGCCTGAATAGAAAATATTAGGTTCTGGATTTTAAAATATCTAATACTACTATATGTAGGTACACAATAAAAAGTTAACTTAAAACTAATCAGCCAACACATAAATTATGAGATTGTGATTATTCTGTTTCTGGGCTTCTGAGACTAGTTGAGCACTGCTTTTCATATATGAACACAATACATGTACAAAACATGATATTTGTATAAATTTTCTATGTCATCTAATTCCTGGAGATTATAGTCAATGCTTTGAGATGTTTAGTATAATGAGGAATGGTATGCAAAATGTTGGCAGTTGGTGTGGGGGTTAGAGCACTGGACTTTCACAGGATTGACTATGGTTAAAGTCCAAGACATGGTTGCTTCCTGGTAAAATGGAATAATAAAAATAAAAATAAAAAGTAATAAATAAAATAAATAATTCTTAATAAAATAATAATGGTATGCAAAATGACAAGAGAAAATGGGAATGGTATCTACAAAATGTGAATAATATCTTAATGTATAATCTACTTTTTTTTACAGTATACCAAAAATTTTATGGAGAGTTTTTTGCTATAGGACATGTGCACTTACCAGAAAGACAGAGAGAGACAGAGAGATAGTAAGTGAGAAGTCACCCCCCAGGGAGGATGGCCATGCTGCAATCCCTTCTCCTTTATTCTCCTCTCAGGATCTTGGGCACACACACACGTGCACCCAATGTGAGTTTACACCACCAGGTCTGGGATTCAAACCGTGGTCAGCTACATGGGAGTTCAGCGACATAGCCGTTATGCTAACTGCTGGTCCCAGTATACCAAATTTGAAGAAGGACTTTGTTTACAAGTGACAAAAAGTTTTAGGATATATGGTTTTTTTTTTTATAAACACACACACACACACATATATATGAAAAAGTCATGTGCTCTGTAAAGGCATAAGACATTTCAGTCATTAATAAGCTGCATATGTGGGACCAGCAGTTGGCATAATGGCTATGTCTCTGGACTCCCACGTAGTCGACCACAGTT